GTAGATATAAAGCCCAAACTTTTATTTTTAGGTAAGATAGTGTAGGGAAGTGTTAAAACCCATATTAAGTTATTTGTTGCTGTCTGTGTCCCAATCAGAAGATCCCCCTTCACTTCCTGCACCAGAGATGCAACATGAAGCGAGAGTAAACCTCTGCAAAGTAAGGCGAATTCCCCTCTTAGTGCTCACTAGGATACGTGTCCCCATTGGAAGTAACACGCTCACCTTGTGTTCGGAGGCCAGCAGTGGCAGCACATATTTCTCTCATTATCTCACCTCCTGAGAGGACAAACCTGGGAAATGTGGTCATAAAGGTATACATATAAACTGGGCCGCTATAAGAAGCCACAAGCACATCCATTTCCAAATGTTTGTCTAGCTGTTGACATGGAAAACAAACATATTTCTGTTTAGCTGGGCAGATATAGTAACTTATGAAACATTGGAGTGACCAGATGGAGTCACAAAACTGAATTAATAAATGGCTGTACAATAATATTCAATCTGTCAATAAATACAGCATTTCAGTTCATTTGTGAAGCCTGGAGTCTGGACTACTCAATGGCCACTAGAAGAGTCATAGATACCGTCCAGAATGGTTTATCTTCCAAACCTGAAACCACAGTATTTTAAAGTAAACCTGAAGACAAAACTTTCCAATAGTTTTGGATAGAATGGAGCGGGATTAGAACACCTGTCAGGTTTTTATTGCGATCCGTGCCCATTAGGGAGATTCACCCTATTTGTCCTGCTGAACGTGATCACCGAGAGTGAAAGTGGAAGAAAAATTAAAAATTTCAAGCTGTCACCATAACAGAAATGGAGGGGAAATCTTACAATGGGGACACTAATTCTGGTGACAACCCGGGATTTCATCTCACTTTCTGTTGACAGGGAAGTCAACTTACCTTTTTCAAAATGAAACAAAAAGTTAACGCCCAGGTAACGTTAGCCATACGCAGTCTCATTTAACTGAGCATACATTTCACAATCAGATTGTACAATTTCTTTTAGATCTACCAACTATATCGTACAAGGCCCAGACTGGGTACAACCTGAATGAATTATTTAGGTGGCCACTCACATTACACAGTTTTTGGTAAATCTAAAGGAAATTGCACAGATTGCAACTTGGTCAGTTTAAGATTTTCCTGCCATGGAAGGCTACACATTTCTATTATTACAGGTTTCCGGTAATCAGAAAATATGTAGTTGCCTGAAATTTGCTAGCCAGCATCATTTTGGTTGGTGCGGTTTTGATCTTCCTCTATACGCGGTCAGATAGTTGCATTATTGTAAAGATCTGAGTCTTTGTATGCTCATCCTGGGGGGTGGTCATTGTGCCAGGTTGTGAAATGTTGTCACATTGCGGATGTTTAGATATCCCCTGGACCTGAATGAATCATTCACTAGGCAGGGGCTGTGCAGTTGAATGACCTTGGTATTCAGTCATTCAGATTGAGCGAAGGCTGGCTGGCTGAAGTCATTCAGCTTCTGTGCTGCCACCGCTGCCTAGTGAATGTCTCTTTTAAGGCTGGGCATAGATGTAAACATCAACAATATGAAGGCAGTGGCACAATCGCAGAATGACCTCGCCCTTCAGTGATTCTAAATGAATGAATGTTTAAAGTGTGTATTACAAATCATATAGACACAGGTGCGTGTACCTCAATTTCAGAGTTGAGATGCACTACGGACCACAGTGTTCTGCGAATAGGGTCCGCAATGGCAGGTTTCCATTATTATGGCAGTAAAGTGTCACAGCAGTTTTTAAGAGTGCAGATAAAAATTTCTACATCACGTTGATATTTGACGATGAATTCTGAATTGTCTTCTCTTTTGTGTAAATAGGAAAATCTCTTTTTTTCAGCTTTGGTTTTTAATACCTGTACTGACTTGCACTTTAAAGCAAGTCAGGGATCCATGGGATACTTCTTTCTGTTCTGTCAGTTTTATCAAATGAGTCACGTCACCTTTCCCAATAGCGTGCAACACGAGCCAACACCAGGGATTTTGGAGCCACCTGCAATGTAGGAAGCAGTGGCAGGGGAGCTCTGGCAAGGTAAGTATCAGGAGGTTTAGGGGACATGGTTACTTTGCCCTAAATGAGTCTCTTTAGGCCACATTAACACCTGTGAATGTCTCACCAATTCCTCCTCATGAAAACCTCTACACATTTTAATTGCTGTCTGTGTTCCCATTAAAAAAAATTTCCCCTGGCTTCTATTCTAGGATGGGCATACACTGCTAGCGTTTTATCTTATCAGCTTCGCATGCAGAAGGAGAAACAAACACTCAATTCCCCCATCCATTCTAAAACATAAAGAAAACCTGAAAAATGGAAAGGTTTCTTTGTACAATACTGATCCAGGGTTTTATCCCTTTGCTGATTAGCAAAATGAAAATGTTCCCGAAAGAAACATGTAGGCTGCCATCTTTGACTCCTGACAATGCTACTTGCCTGGCTATATTGCTGGCCAAGAGCTTCAAATCTTTCTTAGTTCCTTGAAAAAGTATGCAGTTCAGTAAATCCAAAATAAAGATCTTACAGGCAGCTCTAGCTCTGTAAGATGGTAAGTATCGGCCCCTTCTTCGGGACGCAGAAGCGATCTGGCGACAGGTAAGTCGCCAGGATCGCTTCTGTTGTAAAGCCGACAGTCGGCTCTACAAGTTTAAACAGAGTCCCGGCGGCAAAAGTCGTCGTCAGTCACGAAGGGGTTAAATGGTCTTCCCGATTTGTTTTTGTTGCATCTTTTCAGCAACAGGTTCTCTTTAAGTAGTATTATGCTATTACAGTTGCATATGTAGCCCACTACACTTCTTAGAATGTGACAGATTGTAGAAAGCACTATTATACATTCATCGTAAATGAATCTGGTTTATAGGAGTGAGGGTGTACACATACACATATATGGTCTAGTGCCTTGATTGTGTTGGCATTGCATTTGCTCAGTGTCAGTTTAGAAACAATCTCTATTGTGAACAGAACAGTGCATACTATGAGCTTCAAATTAAAGCGGAACTCCAGGAATTATCTAGTTTTTAAACTTACATTGAGCCAGCTTGGTAATTATCCACGTGTCACGTCGACAGGGCCACTGGGGATGCTGAAGTTGCCTGTAGTAGTATGTGCTGCATACAATCAGTGCTGTCCTGTTCCAAGTGCTGCTGGAGCGACTTGTCATCTGTACACTGAACTCGCTTATTCCCATACTGCTGCCATTCAGCAAACATCTTGTATTTTTTTCACTAAAGACAAGGCTTTTTCTAATTGGATAAGGTGATAATCGTGACATCATCCACTCTCCTCTAATCAGAGACTACCTTGTAATCTTCTAAAAATTACAAAATGTTTGCTGACTGGCGGAGGTACGGGAGCAAGTGGCTCCTTGTGTTCAGCGTACAGACAGCAAGTCGCTCCAGCAGCACCCGGCACAGGACATGACAGACTATATCCCCAGCGGCCCTCTGGATGTAACACATGGATAACCGCACACAACCCAGCTAACCTAAAGTGTATTTTTATACCTTTTGCGGCCAAAGCTTACCTTTATGAACAATGTATACATCAGGTTTTGAGCAGTCACGTGCCTGGGAACAGAGATTCATTCCCCTTCCTCCCACATAATAATTCTGGTGCCTGGCTACTGGCGCCTCAGGCACCCAGAGCTGTCACACAAAGAAGGTGAGAGTCCTCAGCCCTGCAGCTCTGAGCCACAACTTGCACAGGGCTGCAGCAGGCAAACAGAGTGCAGGGGGAATTAAGGGAAAGCATATTCAGCTGCTAGTATTAAAGTAAACTTGTTGCTTTTCCATGCATAGGCAAACCACAACTGAGGGAGTGCTGAACACAGATCATATGCAAATGCTGGCAATTTAAACAAGCTACTAGCAGGCTTCCAACAAGATTTAGAACTGGTGCAGCACAACACACTTAAATTTACTTCTCCTATTTGCTCCATTTTCATCTGCTAAATATACCATTACGTGCTTTGTTATATTTGTTCGATAAGTGCCATATTTACCTGTTGATTTTGCCAGGAATCTTGTGTGCTGATAACGTTATGTACTCTCTATGCCTGTACGCAAGGAGGGGTTATGGAGAAGAGGAAAAAAATCTGTGTTCTTTGTAACCTCTGACAACACATACTTAGGAATTCGGAACCACAAATACATAAATCGGCATCACACAGGTATGTGTGGCGCGGAGGTGTCAGTAAGTTAATTTGTTCACATTTTGTGAGAAAGTAAACTTACCCTTTAAAGAAAAAGATAGGATCATTCTAGATTTCTGGTACATCCACCTGTATTTTTCCATACTTGCAGTGTATTTAAAGGAATAAACATGGCGGAAAGTGAATGTATTTTAGAGATGTACTTAAAGGAGAACTATGAGGTGAGTGCTTTTCACTCATCCTCATAGTTCTAGCCGACCTGTGACAATGAAACTATCACAGGTCGGCTTAGTAGATCGGGAAGTGAGCGAACACATACCGGCGTTCACTCACTTCTCGATCCTGTCACGGCTCTCCGCCGTGACAGGGGAGGGACTGGATTCCCCCCTCCGATCCTCCAGCACTGACTGGCGGAACGGACGGGTACAGCTGGCACTGCCTCTAGATAGGCAGAGCCAGCTGTCACTCACGCAGCTGGGCGGATCCAGACATAATTGTCGGGATCCGCTTCAGCTGCGGCGTCTCAGTATACCGCAAGCTGTAGCTCTCGGTATACTGAGCTTAGGGTGACGGGAGGACGCTAGTTTGTGTCCTTCCGTTACCCTAAGGAGAACTATGGGGAAAAGCCCTGACCCCATAGTTCTCCTTTAATAGATTTTTTTTTGCCTTGACATATGCGTTAAACGTCAATGCTTGCTTTGTATGGCATCATAGGATACGGTGAAGGTATACAGATTATTATTAATAGCAACCACATAGTGAACAATGAAAGAAAGAAAAGTGAAGAAGAATAATACAATTGGTAGCATTTGGCATCACTATGATTTTTGCCATATGTTAAAGGTGTCTGTCAGTAAAAACGGAATACAGGAGTTGGTAAGGCATACACAAATGTTCTCGAATTGACATTAACAAATAGAATTATTATTTGAACCCTTTGTATTTTAAACCACTTGTTGCCAAGAATAGGAAGAAGGATTTGTTCTGCTGATGCATGGCCATACTATCAAACAGCATGGCCCCATGCTCCCTTAACATTAAAATATCAAATGATAAGAATAATACCGACATAGGGATGCACCATTCAAACCGTGCCCCTGAATTCATTGCTAAAATCTCTGAGCTTTACAGGTTTTCTGAGAAATCCTTGCCGAACTCAACACTGTGCGGTTAAGAAAGAAGACTGGAGGACTTTATAAAGTCTAAGTTGCGGCTGTCATAACTCAGAGTGCATGTAGTCAGTCCTTGGAGGCTCACTCGGTTTCATGAAGATGCCTTCCATTACTTTCCAGTAGTTGTGCTGACTTGCGTACGTCATGCCGTGCACTTCTCTCTGCCCATTTATAGGACGCCCATACTGTTCCCCTGTGATAGACAACAATACGTTGGTTGACACATGTTTGAACCGCACCTCTTCATCTCGCTGCCAGTATTCTCCATTGCAAACGACAGTCCAGTCATCTAGGATGTCTCCTTCCCCATCATCTCCAAATGCACTAACTTCCTGCACAGAGAAAGGAATACACACATTAAGCAGAATAATGAACATGGACTACCCTCTAAAAGGAGGTTCTCCTGTCTTTCTCTGCTTAAGACCCGAAGCAATGCCTATCCAATATTTTGATGCACTGTCAGGTCTGATATTTTTAACCTCAGCTTTTTACTGCTGCCCGTGACTCCATTACCCCTTAAAAGGAGAACTATGGGGTTAGGGCTTTTCCCCATAGTTCCCCTTAGGGTAACGGGAGGACACAAACTAGCATCCTCCAGTCACCCTAAGCTCAGTATACCGCGAGCTACTGCTCGCGGTATACTGAGACGCCGCAGTATACCGCGAGCTACATGGAAGCAGTGCCATTGAATACAATGCACAGCCATGCCCCCTCCCGCCCCAAAACCCAAGGGGAAGTTTCTCAGCGAACGCGGTGCGTTCCAGCAGCTACCGCTCTGGAACGCACACGCTTTCCGTGTGAACAAGGCCTGAGGGCAGGTTCACACAATTTTCCAGACCAGATCTGGTCCGGAAAATGGTGTGAACCTGCCCACAGTTCCATCGCATTCAAAACCAGACAAAATGAGGCATGCAGTATTTTTCTGATCTGGAAAGGATTGCACTGGTGTGAACAGAGACCAGAAATAGTATAGGGATACATTAGGATGCATTTTGGGTCCGGTAATGATCTGGATGTGGTGCCCTATAGGTTTTACAGTCATGTTTGTTAAAGAACAACTCCAGGAATTGACCTTTGCCCTTGCAGTGGAGCTACCCCTGCACTGCCAGGGATTACCTGCTCGTTGTCTAGGGTAAAAAAATCTCTCCCCCTCCACTGCAGTGGTCTAAGGTCCTGTAAATCATCATGTCTATATTCAGTATATAGATATCAGGTCGAGGAGGATTCCAATGCTGCAACAGGAGGAGGAGACAGTCTAGGGCAGGGGTGCCCATCTTGCCTCAGGCGCAAAAGGAGCTGGCTACGGCTATGCTCCCGTGGTGCTCGTGCGGCTGCATGTGTCAGACGCTGCAGATGGAAAGGTGCAGGACACCCCATGTGCAATGTCGGCCACACGAGCACCACGGGAGGACAGGACGCCAGGACCTGTAATGTACTGGAATGCACTGGAATGTAAGCCGTCCGACTCTCTGTGTTCCGGTGCGGGAGGGGGTGTGGAGCTGTATTGAAGTCAATGGCATCGCCCACAGTGCGATCTCCCACACTCGGAACGCAGGCACATTAGTGCCTGCATTCCGGTCCAGTGCGATCTGCAAAAATAGTGCTCGCATATAGTGGAACACAGGCACTAATGCTGCGCCCACGCCCCCTCCCGCCCCTGAATGCAGGTGTTTTTTCGTTGGTAGATCTCAATGAGCTCGTCATTTGAAAATTAGATCTCCAGACGAAAAATAGTGGGCGCCCCTGGTCTAGGGGGAGCAATGTGCCAGCTGGCTGGCTCTGAGCTTTGGGTGAGTAGAACTTTATTTTTTAACCTAGACAAAACGAGCACTTATTTAAATTCCAGAAAACCAAACTAATAAAACCACATTTTTTTAAATGTTAAGAGATGTTTGTAATACATTTATGAATGTTTTTGACAATTAAGTGGTTTTAATCATTTTTTTTAAAGCAATCATATATTTGTTAATGATACAAGAAAAGCCCTAATTGCCCCTTTGCCAACATGGCCATACTTTGTTAAGTATGGCCATTAAAATCGACGATGGAAAAGGTTGTCAACGTTTTCCATCGTCGATTCGTCGGCTAAAATTCAAATTTCCTGCTCGCCGCTCACGCCACGTCGGTTAAGCCGCTCGCGCCTACGCCGGTATACCCGCTCGCCGCTCACGCCCGCTGCTTACACCACGCCCACGTCGTAACTTAATAATCGGCTAACTAATCGATTATGAAAATAGTCGTTAGCTGCAGCCCTATCGCACACTAACACAGCTTACCTGGTTTCCTGATAACGGAGAGGTGAAGTGATGGCTGTGGAGGTTGCGTCCAGTACTGACATGTGTAAAACGGATAGACTGTCCGCATTTTATTAGTGTTCCCCTCCCGCACACGGTGGAGGTTTTTCCACGGACTTTCCAGTAACTATTGCCATCATCTGCAGCAGTGACTCCAGTCACTGACTGCTGACCACTGCCTAAAGAGAAATCATAAAATGATTATCAAATTGAACACGGATAAATCACTATTTCATTTTTAAGCTGGCTATTATGCTAACTACCTAGAATGCAACCTCCTGGGGTCTATTTCAAAGTTCCACTGATGAGGAAGGGTGCCTTTTCTCTGGAACCTCAAAAAGATATGGTTCCTAACAGATCCAAGTAAACTAACAGGGTTATTCACTAAAGGGTGAGGAGTTTGGAGAAGGCAGGAGAAGTGAACAATCTAAGACAACATAGCTGATTTGGAAAAATTCTCCCATTCATCTCACTTTCCAGTTCAGCTATGCTGTCCTAGATTGTTCACTTCTCCGGCCTTCTCCAAACTCTTCACCCTTTTGTGAATAACCCTGTAAATGTTCAATTCTACTAGGCTGGCGACCTGAAAAATGGATAAGACATCATTTGAGGCCCCACATTGTTTTCTATCGAGCAATCATTGTCGCACTTAAAGCTGATCTCCAGAAAAATAGTAACTCCTCCCCCTGATCTCTGAAATAGATAAATATCATGTCTAAATGCCCTTTTAACTTACCGTAAGTCGCAGTTATGTGACGCTTTAGACTGGAATCTTCTTCTTCCGTTTATTTCCACTGTGGTCTTTCCTTGGGTGCAAATGTCACTGCCTGGGTGATGTGGGTACTTCCTGTTGGATGTCTAGTGGTGGGGTTCTCTTATGATCCAGAAAAGGAAAGACATCAGCACAAGGGGTCTGTTGGGGACCGGTCAGTGCTCCGATATCTGCAGCATTGGGTTACCAACCCCCGTGCAGACGAGGGAACAGTGCAGGTGAAGGAAGCAGGACGGAGGATTTAAAAGAGAACTATGGGGTAAGCTTTTTTTTAAAACGTTTTCTCTTTAGGGTCATAGGAGGACATATACTAACGTCCTCCCGTGACCCAAAGCTCAGTATATAGAAAGCTGTTGCCCGTAATATACTGAGAGCTCCGCTGGCGGGACAGATCGCAACAATACTGTCAAGATCCACACAGCTGATACTATCAAGATCCACACGCAGTATACCGCGAGCTGCAGCTGGCGGTATACTGAGACGGCCACAGCCGGGACGGATCCCGACATTACTGTCGAGATCCACCCAGCTGCGTGATTGACAGCTGGCTCTGCCTATCTAGAGGCAGAGCCATCTGTACCCGCCCCCTCCCCCATCCATTCCTCCAGTCAGCTCTGGAGGATCGGAGAGGGGGAATCCCTGCGGGGACTGACAGTTACCGCTCTCTGCAGGGAGATGATCGGGAAGTGAGCGAGCAACGATATGAGTTTAAACACTTTCCAATCAATAGAGCCAACGTGCGACAGTTATAATGTCACACATTGGCTCTAACTATGAGGATGAGTGTAAATCACTCACCTCATAGTTCTCCTTTAAGAGAGTATAATACCAAAGTCCTTCTGTGAGTGCCACATGCATGTGTTCCCTGCCATGGCTCCATCCTCAGGACTCCTAGGTCACTAAAGAAGGCACAGTGACATTGGGGTCAGAGGATAGAACCATAGCATTTAGGAACACATTTGTTAAAATGACACTAAAACTCTGGAGTTCAATCATAAAAATGCATTCAGGTACCCTAACTATTAAAGGAGAATTATGAGGCGAGTGCTTTTCACTCAACCTCATAGTTCGAGCCGAAGTGTGACAATGAAACTGTCACACGTCGACTCAATAGATCGGGAAGTGAGCAAACACATACCATCGCTCACGTCTCGATCCTGTCCCTGCAGAGAGTGGTGACTGTCATGGCTCCCTGCGGGGATTCCCCCTCCTCCCCTCCAGCGTTGACTGGAGGAACGGACGGGGGAGGGGGCGGGTACAGATGGCTCTGCCTCTAGATAGGCAGAGCCAGCTGTCAATCACGCAGCTGGGTGGATCTCGACAGTAATGTCGGGATCCGTCCCGGCTGTGGCCGTCTCAGTATACCGCCAGCTGCAGCTTGCGGTATACTGAGCTTTGGGTCACGGGAGGACGCTAGTTTGTGTCCTCCCGTAACCCTGAAGAGAACTATGGGGAAAAACACTTACCCCATAGTTCTCCTTTAACAAAAATGTATCCTATTTGTGTATCACTCAGCTGCAGATCCTCAAACCATCTCTGAATTGGTGCCGACACTGTCCTTCCTTCTGGAGGGTGGCTACTTTTGTTCCCCATGGTCCCTGTGTGTGTTGTAAAGTAGTCACCACTCCAAGCTCACTCCTGTCCTATGACTACAATCTCAATACAAATTAGTAAACTAAAACGTGAGATTGTAGTTTATCACATGAGTGAGCTTGGAGCGGTGACTACTTTACAACACACACAGGGACCATGGGGAACAAAAGTAGCCACCCTCCAGAAGGAAGGGCAGTGTCAGCACCAATTCAGAGATGGTTTGAGGATCTACAGCCGAGTGATACACAAATAAGAAACATTTAACAGTGAAGGTACTTGAATGCATGTCTAAGATTTAACGCCTGAGTTTAGTGTCACTTTAAATACAGTGCTGTTCTCAATAAATAGGCCATTTGTATATTTTAAATGTGTGATATGGCTGTGGAAAGACCATATTTCTGCTTATAACCAGACCCCTACATTTCACTAAATAAATCACTATTACAGAACAACTCATATGATGTTTTCACATTCAAGTGCATCTAAACCCCAAACTTTTTTCCCAGGTAGTGTTGAAGGGTTAGAATCAACCAGCGAGAATTTAGCTAGCCACGTCCACATAAATCAGTATATTTCTCCATCTTAAACAGCATAGATGGAGGAATATCTGCTGCCGGCTATTGCATTCAGGCAGCCGTAGCACCAGAGGCTGTGCGAATACCCGAATAGTGACTGCATCTGGCAGAATACAGTCACTGTTCGTCCACTGAAATTCGAGCCGTGTATTGACAGCTTTCCCCCGGTGACCTGGTCTGAAACTGATGGAACATGGAAAATGTTAAGGAGTCACCAGAATAGAAATAGAAGGAAAATCTTTAAATGAGATGTCTGCGTCCGAGAGCAATAGGTTGTTACAGATGTCACCATATTGAAGTGAAGAACACGTCTGTTTATTGACACTTTATATCAAAACAAATAACATTTCGGAGCCACACAAAGCCTTCATCAGGCTTGAAATGAAGGGGACCCAGTGTGGCCCCGAAACGTTATTTGTTTTGACATGAAGCGCCAATAAACAGACGTGTTCTTCACTTCAATATGGTGTCCTGGTGACATCTGTAACAGGTTTCAGTATTGGCGGCGCTATCTGCCGTCATTTCAAGCACCCATACTGACAGGGATACCCGGTAAGGAGTGCAGCAGTATTCTGTTATACATACGGGAGCCACAGGTTTTGCATGCAGCCCCACTGTACATGTCAATGATAAGCTGTGGCTGTACGCTGGTTAATGCTGCTCCAAGCGTGCACTTCTGTACAGATTAAGCCGTATGCCCCTGGAAGCGTTCTGTGCCCGGGGAATAGCGCCAAACTTGCACACATGTACACACTCAGAGCACTGTTTACCAGCGTACAGACGCAGCCTGTCATTGACTTGAACACAAGGACTGTATGCAACACCTGTTATTGCCAGGAGCAGAGATTTGGACGGTTTTAACGTACACGGCTATCTGTGCTCGTGTGAAACAGACCTGACAGGGGTAACATTTTGGAAGATAGGATCCCTCCTTGAATTGTATCTGTACCCTTGATTTCCTAAAGCGCTGTGCCAAACTGTTGGCGCTATGTAAATTTAAATCCTTATAATAAGTGGTTGCCGCCATTGAGTGAATGGACTTTCCTCGTGAACTAACCACAAAATTGCTGGCACTTTATAAATCCTGTATTATAATCATAATATGTGGTCACAGCCATTGAATGAATGAATTACCTTTCCTAATGAACTGACCACAAACAGCATCAAAAAATAAACAGAAGACACACAATGTAGACATGACTAGGCACTGCTGGCTGAGTGACGTCACACCCCTGCCATCACAGAGATGCAGCCCTAGAGCCTTACCGGAGCCGTATCTGACGTCATGTGAGTGCAGGCGGACGTTGTGCTTAGTGTTGAGCAGCTTGACCACCGAGCCGCAGGTCACCACTGACAGCTCAGAGGCGAAGGTCTGTGGAAGTAACAAGGGGGTGATAAACAGCAGGAGAGAGCCCGCTCCTTCCTGCGCCTTCATCATTGCTCTCGCCGCCGCCGGTTGGGAGCACACAGGAAACGTACCTAACCTGACCCGGAAGTGAAGCTACCAATTCGCCATACCGGAAACTGTTAGGTCCATACTGCCATTTTGCTTGCTGGCAAAATGACAAAGCTCAATCTCGTAGATAGCCGTTGCTAGTCCAGGCTTTAAAACACAGCTAGATCTAATTTATTATACAAATAAACTGTTTATGTAATCGTAGAATGGAACGAAACGTTTCTTAGCATAACATTAATAGTGGACTATCTGCAGCATTTTAACCGCTGAAGCACTAAAGATCTCTATAGTGTGCCAACTGGAAAGCCACAGGAGGTTTCGGTCTGCATATTTCTTTACTCGGTAGCATTTGTTTACCACAACATGGCCTATGTTACGCAATGTAGTATGGCTGTGCAGAACGCATGCGCCGGATGAATCTACAGCTTCGCAGGCGCAGTAGAACACGAGTCTAGCGTAGGTACGCCTCCGCGCATGCGTGCTGGGGGCTTCGGCCGAGGGAGCTAGAGGGGGTGCAGTGCGGACGGAAGTGGCGTCACATTGTGGTTCTCAGTCTTCTCCCTTCCGTTTGTTTCGTTGCTGGAAGTGGGCTCTCAGTTTTCACATTGCGGTAGAGGAAGAACCGAACGGGAACAGGAGGCGCCTGGCAGCTGAGGTGAGGCACCCTTCTTCGTGTGCTTGGGCCGCCATTCTGGGCCCTGTACCTTTGCTGCCACTTCCAGAGGCCTGACATACCTCTGGGCGATGTTGCGGAGATAGAGCGGTCTCTGCATTGATGGTGAGGCCTGAACACACAGCTCTGCGGCCTACTCGGTTCTGACAGCCACACACAGGCCACTGGGGGCTTTCCCGACAGGCCGTCTCTTTTCTGGGAGTAATTGTTCTCTTTGTCTATAGGTAGACATATGTTAGTGCGGGTGTCATTGTGTTCTATAAACACCTCAGGTCTAGTTCTACAGTTTCCTGACCCATGTATTCCTTATAGCTGAACTGCAGACAGAAAGCAATGCAAATTCCTGCTGCTACATGTTCAATAAAAATTAAAAAATAAGTGCACTTTTTTGGGGTGCCTGTTACCCTGACCTAAACCAATCTCCGCCTACGCAGATGTGTACTTGCCTCAAACCAGCGACTCCTGTGATTGTTTACATCCTGATTCACCTGCACATTACAGTCCCATGGACTTGTAAGGGCTGTGCCCCAAGGGAGGGCTGTGCCCCAGAGAGGACGGTAGATGGTGAAAAATACAGCCCTATAGAGGACCATGGGGCTCTAATGCATACGTGTGGCCAGGATGCACACCACTGGTGACAGCGGCTGTCGGATAGAGGTAAGTATTCATCTATAGAGGGGGAGGGTAGGATCTGTCAGGGCAATGTGACTGAAAGAATAAGTGTGCTTCGTCTGGAAGTATCTAAAAGAATTGTTTACTAGAGTGTCAAGAGATCGGGATGTTTCTCCCATCCCAGCAGTCTAAGGCCTGGTTCACACCTGGGCGTTTTGTAGCGCGTTCGAACGCTCTGCAAAACGCTTAAACACCGAAATCCCATTATTTCCTATGGGTATGGTTCACACCTGGGCGTATTACAGGCCGTATGAACGCGCTACAAAACGCCCTATGCCCAAAGAAGTACAGGAGCGTTTTTGTCGCGTTTCCATTGGGATACAGCCAAGTAGCCCTCGGAAACGTGCGTTTGTCACGTGTTTTTACCGCAAATCGTGGTAAAAACTCGCGTCACGAAATGTGCGACAACACGCATATTCGATACGCCTAGGTGTGAACCCAGCCTAAGAAACTCTTACAGGCGTATTCACAAAAGAATTTGGTGAAGGCAGGAGAAGTGAACAATCTAGGACAAAATAGCTGAACTGGAAAGTGAGCTGAATTGGAGAATTTTTCCAAATCAGCTATGTTGTCACTTCACCAAACTCTTCAACCTTTTGTGAATAACCCTGTTAGTGAGCCTTGACCCCGTCAGCTGTATGAACACAATGTATGGATGCCAATTTGGCCGATTTTTTTTTTTTTTCTTCGATTAATCAGATAGAAAATGAAATACCATCCTTCATTTAAAATAACATACACAAATGCAGTGTTACAAACATAAAGTTTACTTTAGAATCAAACTGCATGCACCATTTTAAGCGGTAAAATGGCAAATATTTTTCACCTTGGCCCTTACATTCAAACACCAAATGTATTTTTTTAAACATTGCACTCTCAGCACTGTTGACATATCTTTGTGTCATTAGACATAAAGGAGGAGGCAATCAGAATGACAATAAAGAGGTTTAAATTCTGATTACCCCCAAACACAGTGTGTGATTTATTCAGGTTTAAAAAGAATGCATAGTGTTGCCAGATTTCTCTATTATAGCAAGAAAAACATATCTTTTGATTTGACCTATTCTTGGTAGCCCGAGACATATAAAATCTTGTATATCAATTAGGGATGCACCGAAACCACTTTTTTTAAGACCGAATACCGATACTTTTGATCAAGTACTCGCAGATACCAATTACCGATACTTTTTCTTAAAGGGACATGTCACATTTTTTCTTAAGCAATACTTACTAATGCTTTAAGGTCACTTTCTTAATATTATGATTCATGAGATGACGAGGGAGCATGGCGCCGGCTTCCCGGCCAATAAGAATGCTGGGCGCTGCGTCATTACACAGCGCCCGGCTTCCGGATTTGCTAGCTTCCTGGAGCTTTTTCCTGGCCTATCAGGAAACCGTGCAGCGTGTAATGATGCGCTGCCCGGCTTCCTGATACAGGAAGTACTCGTGCTAGGTATCGGAGCATTTGGGCGAGTACGAGTACTCACCCAAATACTCGGTATCGGCACCGATACCGATACTAGTATCGGTGCATCCCTAATATCAATATTGCATTTTATGTCTTCCAGCCAGCAAGTTAGTGTCTTTCTAACTTCTATTTTTACTGCACTGCTGTGAATACAGGCCTGAGTTCCAGGATCTCATGTGCACACACAGCTGAGCTTTGCAGCAGAGACCGGGCCATTATCACTGAGAGGAATATATAGGCAGCAATTGCTGAACGTTTTCTGACCATGCTAGTTGCCGGCAGTCTGGATCAAAAACCTTTGGTATTCGTGACTCATAACATGTATGCAGATCAGAAAAACCAGAGCGAAGGCAGGACTCCCAATCTGCATACTTATTTCAAGACATGACAGACCAGGAATGTATATTAATAGGATGGAGAGGTCAGCAATAGCAGCCTAAATGTTTAGTATAAATTCCTTAGTGTGAGGAGTCTGTCAGCAGATCTAGTGCTGGGATCTGTTTATTATTAAAGTAAGAATGTTCTAAAACTTTGAATTACGTTTGTTTATAAACTTGCAAAAATACCAAAAGCAACTGTATTTCTTTTCTATTCCTGCTGAACTGCTCCTGGTATATATCCACAAAGTAAAGGAAATAATATAAAGCTTGCTTAGTTTGCTATAGTTAGTTAGATTAGAACTTTGTGTGTGCCAGTTTGGGAGCCCTATGGGCCCATGGCATGTCACATACTGCTAACCTCTGTCTGGATCCATGATCTATTCTAGTGGCATGTTTCACAGATCCATCAATGAGGACCAGTAAAGGGTAGTGGCTTACTTTATGCAGTTACAGACAAGGAACCATAAACCTTACAACCTTTTACAAATATAATTGGTTGAAACAGTAGTAGATCCCCCATCTGTTATCATGGCTTTTAGTATACTGCAAAGCAGTTTATATGTGACGTGTGACTGGCATATAAGTTCTTTTATGTAACCCCTATGCTGCTGCTGTGAACCTACTATGGGCCTTATTACAGCTGTTACACCAACCTCACAGAATCAGAACAGTGACCTATACCCCTTTTTTTTCAGTTTATTGATCCAAAATTTGAGTCCGAGACAGCGTGTCTGAAAGGATTCACTTCTGGCTTTCTTTCTTTTTAGACACCCATAGAACCCTGGCATTCCTGTGTCAAGGGTGAACTTTGCAAACAAAGATCATGTATATGTAGTTAAAATGAAACCGTAGTTTAAATTCTTCCGACCTTTAACCCTTTGGCTGCTACGGATGTGTCTTGTACATCACTAAGTAGAAGAAGATAGGTCACCAGCACTCAAAAATAATTCAAAATGAATAAGTCCTTTTTATTGGACAATTGTGTCACGACAATCAAAAAGAGCCGACGTTTCGGGGCCACGCATGGTCCCTTCCTCAAGGCAAAAGATGTACATCACTGACAGCGGGCACCTTTAAACAGACTAGCCACTGGGACTGTGTTTACATTTGTAAAGCCGACTGCCAGCTTTACAGTGGAAGCTCA